GCTTGGTCAGCTCCACAAAACACTTCATATAATGTTTGTTCTTTGTGGGATAAAGTAAAACAAACAAACAAAAAAACCAACAACACATTTCTTCCACAGCTATTAAATGCTTTTGAAGTGTTTGATCTCAGATGAAATTCTGGTTTGAAAAGCAAGCATCTACTCACTAATGAAAACTGTTACAGTGTAAAAATCAGGCAATTAATTAATTAAGTGTACAATGAGATGGTAAATCACACACCATCATATGTTCTCTGCACAAAATGTTACCCCCTCACCTCATATTGGGGTCACATCCCCTGTTATATTAGAACTGATTTGCCCTTCAAAAGCAAACTGGGAACCTTGATGAAAACAAAGCAAAATAAAACTTCATTTTGTTTCATCAATGCTCATCATAGGCTTTTCTGTAAATGCCTGCATTTCAACCTTCTAATTTGTATGAGTTGTTATAGCAGGTTGACCAAAATATCATTTGTCATTCTCCTTAATCTATCCTCTGTGCTCTACTTCATGTGATAGAAACGAAGCTCAAACTCCCAGCCCAGAGAACAACAAAATGCCTTTCAATTAATAAATCTGGATTTATACAAGTTAGCATCACAGATTCTGCAGGCATTTTTAGAGCTGTTCCATCATGTAAAAATCTATGCATTTTAGGAAGTAAAATATTATTGATTGATAGTCTTCTGTTTTCAGGAATTCAAACTTCAAGAGTTTCAGAAAGCTATTAAATTTGTCAACAAAAGAAATATAATGAAATAATTATTGACCTGAAACAGTCTCAAAAGAAATTTTATCTTTTGAGGGGGGTTTTTTTGGTCACAATTGTGAATAAATTTGATGAAAAAATTTACTGTTTGCACTGAAAATGAATAACGTAAGAAAAGTTTTCGTTGTTCTCTTCATTCTCTGTTTTATACACAAAATCTTAACACTGTGAATTGCAATATGAAGACAATGTTGTCACAAATGTAGTAGTCCAACCAGTGACAATTGTGAGCTATTTCATTATAAGAAACTTACAGTCACATCTTGAAACTGGAGGCGCATAGCAGAGCCTGATGGTTGTGGTCGGCTGGTGATCTCTAGTATGGTCCTTAAAAGAATATCTAGCAGGCTGTTTACAATCACATCGATTTCTTCCAGGACAGATTTTTCCTTTAATAATAAATAAAACATTTAAGATTTTAAAATGGAAAGATGACCACAGGCATATTTCCTTCGATGTCGTCTTAGAAACAAATGATAGTTTTACTATCAATGTCACATTCAAGAAACAAGGACTATTCTCTAATTAAGATATTGTTTAATTCCATTGATTTTTTCCTAACAGTTTTCAATAATTAAATTGTACTGAAATATAGACAACAGTTATGGGGGTGATTTTGAATATGTAAGCATTTACCAAAGTAGCATAGCTCTATTTTCAATTAATGTTTAGAATAAAGCAGTAAATAATGTATGAGAAGTCTTGGGGCAAGATTTTTATAGGTAACGCCCATATATTTTCTGGGGAAATTGCCAAGAGAGGCTTAAATTCCAAAAAGTAGAATTCTGTTTTCACACTTTGAAACTATCACCAGAAACAAGCAGATGGTGCTCAACCTCCAAGACCTGCTTCAGCAGTAAGGACCAGATACATTGCTTCCCATCAACTGAGTAGCACAAACAAATTAGTCATTTATGTAAGCCTACAACTGCTTGTACGCAACGTCGATACAAAGGAACCAAAGCGTTCACCACCAAAAGAGACCATGATACCTTAACTACATGTGTGAAAACACTTGATGAAGTCAAGTTGTAGTTACTTTTCTTTTTTAATTCAGATGGAAATCTGTTTTTCCTGCTTCAACAATGTTTTCTGTCTCCGCTGCAGCAGCCAACACCATCTTAATCTGAGCAATTTTATCCACAATTTAAGATGACACTTCTTCGCAGAAAGAAACACTTCATAATCAAATGCACACAACCAAACTAAAACTCAGCTGACAAACTGATCATTCAACTTTGCTGACATCGAGGTGTAGGAGTGATTTTTTTTTTTTTTTTCTTTTCTTCCTACACACCCAAAGCATATGATTTGTAACAAAACTCAGAATTCCTGTTTGGACTCAAGATGAGTCTAGTGTCACGTCTTCTCTGTCACTTTGTCTAGTATCAAACAACTGTTAACTTTGGTACTTATGAAGGCAGACAGTGTATTTAGGAACTCTATCAACTCTGAGGACTCATGTACAAACTACTATTAGAATGGCCAACAACCTTCATAAAGGCTGAGAGAGCTGGGACTCTTTAGCCTGGAGAAGAGAAGGCTGAGGGGAGACCTTATTATTGCTTACAAATATCTAAAGGGTGGGTTGAAGGAGGATGGAGCCACACTCTTCTCGGTGGTTCCCAGTGACAGGACGAGGGGCAATGGGCACAAGTTGGAGCATAGGAAGTTCCATTCCAACAAATGGAAAAACTTCTTTACAGTTCGGGTGACAGAGCACTGGCACAGGCTGCCCAGGGAGGTTGTGGAGTCTCCTTCTCTGGAGATTTTCAAAACCCGCCTGGATGCAGTCCTGAGTAATGTGCTCTGGGCAATCCTGCTTTAGCAGGGGAGTTGGACTAGATGATCTCTAGAGGTCGCTTCCAACTCTGAAAATTCTGTGATTCTGTGATTTTCAAAGCTGCCTGACTGTAAATTCACTTATTCCCTCAACCTCTAAATTATCTTGATTACCATGGAATGAATGCAGTTCTGAACTGATCCACAAAAATCATATCAATGTCACCAATACTCTCAATGACTCAAAGACTACTAAAAATGGTAGCTGCATATCTTCACACTGGAGAGAGTTTTATGCAGATATCCACTTGTTACTTTGTACATCTCTGGCTTGGTGACTCCAAATGAAAGATCTCCTGAAACTAAGACCAGACATGTAAGCCTTTCCCCCAGTCCAAAACCACAGCTATGCTTTATCATCTATCACTTTATCTCGTGATGAGGTATTATACTCATCCAGCAGCAGCTGCAATGAAAATGTTGTTAAAGTGCCAAAGTTGCAAGCCGCGTCCACATCAAATCACTGATAGAGCAACTTTAATTGCTGACAGTGGTATGAAATGAAGAAACACATAAACCAGTTCTCACTAATGCATTACAATGTAATGTATGCTGGTCTTGATATATATGTACTGCACTAACTACAGGCAATGTTTGGTTTTAATTGTCTTATATCCCTTTGCCTGGCAGAACTTATCATCATCTTCACATTTGCAATACACCTATCTAAGCTAGCTCTCATATGCAGCTGTCACACATTAATTTGCAAACACAAATGTCAGAAATTGGCCACAAAGTTTATCAACTAACAACCAAGGGCAATCCCCCTTGCAATAGTCATATCTATCTGTTTACCCATATCACCCCTGTGTCCCCTATGACTAAATAGCCCACAATAGAAAATGCCTCTAAAAGAAAGAGGACATTTTTTTCTGTCCAACACAACACTCAAAAAGAGTCAAAGCTTGGCAGAACCTTTGTGCTACAATTAAAATATTCTTGCATGGGGAGAAAGGGTTCATGAGAAATCAAAATGACATGTTTATGCAGAATCGTTACACAGAGAACTCTAAAATGATCTTGGTCAATGTCCAGTTTGTGTCATTAAATGTCATGGAGCCATATAAAGAAGTTCAACACCTTGTGGATGTCACAGTGTTTACTTACTGAGCTGTTCTTCTTGATGAAGCAAAATATGTTGCTAAGGATACGTGCACACATTATAAGGTCCTTCTGCTCTTGTAAATGCATGTGGAGATGATGTAAAACTACTGGAAGAAGAATATATCGAGAATCTGGAAAAAATGAAAAATTTTGTGAGTAGGAGCTTCTCATAGAATCATTTAATTTTAATACAGACATAAATGTGTCTTTAGTCCAAAACAGTATTTCTGATAAGCAGAAGCCTTTCCTTGCTTACGTTTTTGATAAGCAGAAGCTTTACTTCATAATCATAATATCCTAAAGCAAATATCTGAAGAATAAACAATACGCTGAAAGTCTGTATGTCATATCATGGATGGAGAAAAACACCACTGTGCGGAATATACTATATACAGCAGAAAATTCTAAGTAATTATTGAACTGTCATGCAAAAAACGTTAGCACAGTAATACTTCTAATCATAATAATGTGAAATTATGCTCTAGAGTTCCCTGTCATGTGACAGGATTCCTTTGCAAGCCAACATCACAACAGACTTCATCTTGAATTTATGTTATTCTACAAACGAGTTCTATTTTACAAACAAGCAGTACTTTCAGATTTCTTTCAGGACTTTCACTTTTCCAGCTTCTTCACTCCTACTGAATACAAGCAATTTAGATTACTGGTGTCTACATAAAATGATTTGCCTTTCCTCTACTTCATTTTCTAAACACAGCTCTTTAGTGCTATTTTCAGTCCTGAATTCTGTCAAAATTATGCAAGAACTTCATTAACATGCTACTTTTTCTTGCTTCTTTTTCTTATAATTAAAGACAATGTTAAATGGGAAGAGCCCTAATACTTACACTTGTGATAACACATTAAACACTTATTTACAACTTGATAAATGGAATGGGTGTTATCTGTTTTCATTTTGTTGTTGTTTTTAGATCTCCATAATTGAGAAATGATGTTCTCATAGAAGTGTACTTGAATCATTTCCTCTATTAAAATTTTAATGATGATTATATACTACATTATCTAAATATATTCATCTACTCGGTTCCTTTGTTCATTAATGCAATTATTCCCCAAAAAGTTGAGTTTATCTAGCTAGAAGATTACTCCTTTAAAATCATTTTGCCAAGCAGGTAGTCTTAGTGGATTAGTCTTTCTATAAACACTTTTTTTTCCCCTCAAATATTCCTTCTATTTTTTCCAGGAGGGAGAAAAAGGGAGATTTTATTTGTTGAATGCTTCTTTCACTTACTGAAATACAGCACTAATCTTGTTTTCCTCTATTATTCCCTTGTTTTCATTATCTAGTTATCTGTATAACGCAAGACAAATCATACGGACAAGTTGATTTGTACACACTATTTAAGTATATTCTGGTTTCCAAAAAAAAAGCTTGCCTGCTCTTTTTAAATGCATTTTTCATGCTTATTATTTGTTCATGTGTCCCACTATATCTTCATATTGAAGAAAAATATAAACAAAGACTGTACGGCAATAGGCAAAAGGCCATCAATGAATCTCAAATCCGTGGTACTGAGACCCAAAATTAAGAAACAAATAGCCTCTATCCAGTGACTGCTTACTTCTGCCAGTGCCTCAGTAGGTTTTCATCAGGACTGGCCTGGGAGTTTGTGTCTGCCTGTAGCACTGCAGCTGGGCAGAAGTGTCTCAGTCAAACCAACAAGGTGTTTCCTTTTGTCTAGCTAAAAACCAGAACCTCAGCGAAGTGTTGCCCCAGGTAGTCTGAGATATCAAGTGTGTGCAGCTGCCACTGACCCACCCACTGCAGGAGCTATAGGGTCAGAAGGAAAGCAGGCAGGAAGATGGCTAATGTGCAGACATCCGATTAGGAAAGTGCCAGCTTCTTATCCTCACCCCCAAATCTGCTTACTGAGTAGTGATAGATGAAAAAACAGAGCTAATGTCTTCAGCTGAAGTGAAAAAGCAGGACTCTCCACTCCTATAAAAAAAGACCTAACCTCTAGGTTACAGGGGACGGCTCCTTTTCCCTGCTTTCTGTTAGGCCTTACACATATTGAATTCTTGACTATCTGGTAACCCGTCTTCAAGAGAAGAGATGAAGGGTTCACTGTGTAAAGCTGCCTGTGGCTCTGTGGTTGGTGTAATCTCTTTCTCTTCAGGAAGCTGGATCCCGGCGGACAGAGAACTGAACCTGCTCTTTCATTCCCAGGCAAATGCTCAAATCACTACTCAACTCCACAACTTTCACACAGCAGTTATAGTAGCTCTTTCACACGTTACTGGTGCGAGCCTTATCCTTCGGGCCATCCTTCTGAGGACAGCAGGTCCTCTCTTGCAGCTACAACTCAAATCCCTCAGCCCAGAAGGTGAGCAGAAAACATGAGCAGCCCTGTGCCAAGGTGTTTCTTCTTGGTTAACTCTAGGCAGCTTCCTGATGGAAGCACACATAGGATTTGGTACCTTTTCTGAGGTGCCCACTACTCTGTGCACTGCTTACGTGTAAGCACAGCATTATGAACTCCATTTTGAGGACCAGAGAATCTACGTGTAGCAACACTTGACTTGTGAAGAGTCAACTCTTACATACAATATACGGCCTGAAACACCTCAGACAAAACTGAGCACCCTCACTCAACTGTTTCAAGTATCCCATTTTGCAAAAGCTCCATAAAATGATCAGGAACTTTGTTTTACCAAGACCAAATGGATTAGCAAAAGGCATCTTATAATGACTGGCAACTATATGTGGGAGGGAACAGTGCCAGTTACTGAATGAACCACCACATATAACACAGCTTTAGATATATTCCTTGTAATTTCGTAATCTGAATACCTCTCTGTCTTGACCCGTTTAGGTGGAGAGATACAGCAGTATTACAGAAAGAGGAGAGCTGGCATATTCACCCCTGAGCCAAACCAAGGACGATGTGAGAAAGTTTGGAGAACGTAGTGTACAACATTTGTTTCAGGTTACCCTTTCTTAAAAATTGTCAGCTGCAATGTCAGCCATTGTATATATAAAAACTAATGAGTGCAAGGAATGGTGCAATAATCAGAACTCTTAGCCATCACTCACTGTCCCAATTTTTCTTCTGTGCAAGAAGCCAAATTAGCTGACTTTATAAAATGCTAATACTTGCCCTTTACAAATATTATACAGAAAGAGAGGAAAAAAATCATGACACAGAGCTTTTCAAATACATGCTTGGCATAATTAGAAAGAGTGACTACTTGGGGCAATCCTTGTAACTTTCCTATGCAAGCTCCACTAGCATTTCATATTTAACCCACAGCACAACTTTCCCCCTGGCTTTTCATTTAGCGGTAAAGCACCTGCACAGACATAAAAACTTCCTTTATTCTGGTGTATTTTAAAGATGAATTTCAGAAAGATGATACTCATTTCAATGACTATATCTGAACAGATGGGCAAAACTTCAACCTGCTTGGAGAAAAGAATTAGTGTAATTGAATGATTTAAACAAATAAGCAGCATTCTCCTTGAACAGTGAGAAGCAAGGAAGTTGCTCTTTTTTTTGACAGTTTTACTTGGACCAATTAAATTTATGCCTCCTTGTTTGGAAGAACTTTCAAAACTTTTATAAGGAACTGTTTTCAGTTGAAAGAAAAAAAAAATTGCCTGTAGTCCGTAAGAAAAACACAGGTATGGCTGGGAAAGTCCTCCCTTGGCCTAAGACCCAGCCACAGATTCGAAGCATCATTTGCAAAGCTTTTGCAAAATACTTTCTGCTCTCCACTACAGAGGTACTAATACAGGTTGAATTTTTGTATGCAATATACATACGTACATCCCCCAACAGGCGTGTATAGAAGTACACGTACACAAACAACTCCAAAGAATAGTATATTGCTGTAGAACAGAAATTAAGAAATACTAATTAATCTGAAAAAGATACCAGAGTACTTGAAAGCAGAACTATGGATCAACGTGTAAAACCCTTACGTTTTGAAAAAATCGACCTTTTTTTTAAAAAAAAATCTGTGTTAATATGTAAAGTTTAATGCATTTTAACTAAATTTAATTCAGGATTTGTATTAACAATTTCAATAATGATAGGCTTTTTGCATTTTTATAGCAATCAATTAGCTTGCAGTGATTGCTGAGATATCTTACAAGTCTCATTCAAGAGAATTTTTGAGTCTTTTGAAAAAATGATGGGATAAGAGGGAAATCATAATATCTAGCTTCTAGAAAAAAAAACCCTTATCAGTTAATAGTATCTTTTCCTGAACTTGCTAACAACTTTTTGTTTTCATTTCCCTACAAAGCCTAACATGTAATAGCATCCTTTCCACAAGGCATTTCAAAGATATTAAATTATTCTCACTGATTGTGTTAGATATTCATCTCTAAATGACTATTGAAACATAGAGTTTCCTATATGTACATTCTCCTATGATATACAGGATGCAATTCTTAGACGACCTTATTCACAAAGACAGACTGAGGGAAGCAGTCAATATCAGAAAGATAACAAATAAACTTTTCTAATCTATTAATAGGGGGTTTCAGTGTAAAATAACAAAAACAATAAAAAACAGATAAGGGATAAGTTACATATAAAATAAAACCATAAAATTTTACATAATGAAATAAACTAAATAAAATGAACACACGAAGATGTCTCTAAAACATCAACTCAGGATTCTTCCTAGCTTCATAATATGTATATATCATATAAAGATATCATATACCATATGATATCTAAAATGTAAATGGTCAGAGAACTAAACACCTATTTATTTTGAATAGTTTGCCGCACTAAAAGGAAAAGTCCTACCCAGATACTCTTGCACAGAGGTCCTAATTCTCATATTTTGGGAAGACACAGTTTCTTGCCTTGTAAGATCATTCTTCATGTAGTAAAGAGCTGCACCACAGATTATAACTGGGTTAAGATACAGGCTTTATCAACGGGAGATTTTCTTTTTTTAGGACTTTACCTACTAATGCAATCTCTCTTCTGATAACTGACATGTTTGATTGGTGGTGACTCCAAGAAAACCCATTCTCTTTGGAGGAAGAAACAGACATTCCACTAACACACGTCATGTTTTCATAACTATTGAAGTTGCAATCTCAAAGTACTGCCCTTAGAGTAAAAAAATTATTGGTGTTCTGCTAATTCCTGTTTAACCATGCCAAGAAGGACATGGTTCAGGATGAGTTTCTCTGTTATTTGCCTTAACTCTTCCCAGCAAAATAGATTTAACTCTTCACCAAAGCAAGCTATAATAATATTTAATGCAAAAAAGACAACAAACAAGAGTGCTAGACTACTGACGTATCAGAAATGACAAAGATAGAAAATCGTCTGGGTACAGGCATATGTAAGTCATCAGTTTGGCCATTCTACAAGTATCAACAGGGATGAGTCCAAAGGGTGACACCCAAAATACCAGGAGACTGGAAGAAATGCCGAGAGGGAAAAAAAAGATACTGCTAGTCTTTATCAGCAGGAAAACTGTCATCTGTTTCTTTTTAGACACTAAATGTAGTGTACTACAAAGACACAGAAGTAAATATGGAAAAAGAAGTAAAGTAAGGCCTTGACACCCACTAACTTTTCACAGGAGCTAGGCAGATAACTGCTGTTGACACCTTTTAACATCTCTGTAGTTGTTACCTATGGGAAGAGCATAAGTTTAAAATCACTGAAATAGAAAAAGGTTCTAAGCAAGCTATACCAAAGCCTCAACACAGAGCCTTTTCAGACATTCTATCCGCCAATGATCAGTAAATACACTATGTAACCTATGTTCTCTAGAGAGGCAGGTAGAGACCAGATTCATCAAATATATCTGAAATTGTACTAAACATCTGTGCTTGGGGACCTTAAATCAACCCCTCCTTGTCTGATGTTTCTATTTGCACCGATTTAGCTTTAGTGTCAGTTGATTTCCGTAGCAGCGAGAGCTAATATGTTAGTTGTTCAGGCCCTTGCAACACAAAATGCATAAAACTCCCATGCTCAACTACTCTCACTTGTTTCCAAGCAAGCTCCAGATAATAGAAAATGTTGTCTAATAAGTGCCATCCTCATTTCTAGACTTTTGAATAACTATTTATTTCCTGTGTTTCATCTAGTTCTACTGTGTTAGCTAGCACTGCAGCTTGCAGCGTTCATCATCTTTATCTGGGAGACGGAAATCAATTATTTTCACAGCAGCAAGCCTCAACTTCACATTAGGATGTACAGTTTACTCTGCACTTCCAACGTGGTCTAGTGCAATATTTATTTTCCCAAGAGGATTTTAAAAGGATTTCCTTCTTGGGATTGACCGAGGGAAAGTTTACTTATATTTTTTTTATTTTAAAGAGATAAAACATTAAGGGCGAAGAAACCAAGATGCTTATCTCCACAAGACCCTTCAACTTAAAGACAACTGAAATTATACTGTACAAGTGTTTGCCTAAGCTTCCTATCATGGACATTGGGACCTTATACTACTGCCTGATGTCTTTCCCATCAGCTTCCCTGTGGTCTCAGAAATGTATATTCTAATTGTGTATAACCTGCACTCCCTGTAAAATTTAACATGTAATTTTCATTGCTTTTATAGCCAAACCAACTCATATGACTTCTTAATAATGAAACTGGATTTGAATAAAAACCTAGCGCTTTTGCAAAAGCAAGCAAACAAAAAAAAATGTCGTAAGGCTTAAAAGCAGATTTACAGTTCCAAGAACGTCCTCAAGAGTCCCTTACATGGCATTAAATAACTCCCTTTAATTACATTAATTCATTTGGATCTTCTGGTTAAGCTGACCTAATGGGAAAAAAATGGAAATGATGCTACCTGGTCCCTAAGTACTTTGAAAAATGAAAAACGTAGTTTAGAGCGTCCTTAAGATTGCTCCATGAATCTGTCGTCATCCACCCAGAGTATCAAAGGTCTGATCAATCAGCTGTAGGGAGAGCTAACTGTGCTGGAAAGGACCACTGTGGAGGCTCACAAAGGGTTTCGCAACCAGAATGAAGTGAAGTAGCCAGGATCCAATACGTCTCACCCATTTCTTTGAGCTCATACTTTTAAAGTACAAGCACTGAAAGCATTTAAAATAAAAAAAAAATGTTCTAAGATCGCTTCCTTTATTTTGCAGCATCTCAAAATATTTATGCATATCCTGGTGTTTTTTGCAGAGCCTCCATCATTGTAATGTCTTTATCTTGAATGTCTGAGATGGTAAAATTTACTGTTTATACTGAACTCCATTAGCCAATACCCAAGCAACTCTCTAGAGGGTTTTTGGTAAGCAAATTAACACTTATTAGCATTCTTTAAATCTCTTCTATTTTAATCCTTTTATTTCAAAATTGGTTCATCTCAAATTTAATATTTGGTCACTTCTATGGGTTTCACTTGGAATAGAAAAAAAATGTCAGGCTTACCATCACACAGCATTTTTTTCTTCTGCATAGCGACTAACAATGCTGTTATATACTTTACACACCAACTATCACTTGCATTTGTGCAGATTTTTTATGCTACTTTAAGAAGTGGAGGATTGAAAATGCTGAACTAGCAAGAGTTACACAAATAAGACTTAATGGATAAGTGACAATCTGCTTGCTGAACTGCCCCCAAAGAAGAAAAAAAAATCCAAAGAAAAATAAATCAGTTTAGTAAAGCTTTTTCCTTTACAATTACTTGAAAACTATAAAGCAAACTTCCTTCACAGACATACTGCCAGCAGTAGATCAAAACAAAACTGTATTTTGAGAGTCTTTGTCTCTTAAAAACAAATCCCTAAATTTAACCAACTGTATCCTTGTAAATGAGCAGCTTGCACAGAGCAGTGCTTCAAGAATTGTTCCTTAGGAAGCACTACTGTGAGCAACACTATTCCCTTTAGCACCTGCTGGCCCGTGTACCAAGCGCGTAATTTCAGATCCTTATCTGCAGGCAGCCCAGGCTAACCTTACCTGGGTTAGTGTACAGGTGACTCTCTACAGTTTTCCCAATACTCTGCAGTTTAACGGCTTGAAGGGACTCATCCCCATGCATGACTGTTGGCAAGCTGCCCAGAGCATCGTGAACCAAATTTGCCACTTCTCTTACATCAAAGAGCTTCAAAAGTTCAGAGTACACCGATGGGAATGAGCTGAGAAACACAGCCTAGAGGAAAAGGGCGAAAATGGACAGTCAGATATTGCAGTACAGTTTTGACATTTCTAGAATTTAAGTCACTATAGAAATGTGAGTAACTGCAGAAAAATGCCTGGTTTTACATTTCAAGGCTAGTTAGTAGCTATAAAAATGGTTATATTTACAGAAGAAATATCCTCACGTTCATTAATGGGCTTACACTTGTGACTAGTTTTCTTTAAGCATTATCTAATGTCTGTTAATTTCTCCCAGGACAAAGTGAAAGTAAAAAGTTCAACGCAGAACAAAAATATTTACACTTTACAGATTCTTCACTATCTGTGTGAGAGGAAATTTTTAAAAGGATAACAGAAGTCAGCAGATATCAGGACAAAAATATTTGAGTGGAGTTGTTTTGATCTGCTTTGCTTTAGATAAGTAATATAAGGGCCTCCATATCTTGCATTTTTCAAATAATGAACATTTTTATTCTGGAGTGAGAAAGCACTGGTAGTCTTGGTTCACTTCAACAATCCTAAAATAGGGTTAGAAATTCATTGTTGAGTACAATGAATATGGAAACAAAACACTGGAAAAGAAAGGAGAGCAACTCCAGAGAAAGGAAGCTAGAACTGACATTCCCTTCTTCCTCTCCAAATCCTGCTGACTGAGAAAAGCTGCTCATACCTCAGACCTTCTTCACACTGCTGTCAGAAAAGATGACATACAAGGTTAAAGATACTGAAGAAGAATTCCACATGTGGTTGTTTATGTCATTTTGCTATTATCTTTTCACTCGAACTGTTTACATGACATAAGATGGAAGAACCACCTCTCTACTCTGTTCTCTCTGATTTGCCATTTTCTTGGAAGAACAATTTCTACAGAGCTTAAGAAACTAATAATGCTTAAAAGGTCTTCAACACCTTTGGTTACAGAAACAGGGGAAGAGGATGGCATTTCTATGAGCTGTAGAAGTTGGTAAATCTATGGCACTTAATGTAGACAGCTGTATCCTGTGTCTTTTGCCTCTGCGCTTTACCATAAGTCAATTTTAGTAGTCTCAATTGAAATAAAGACACCAGCTGAACATTAAAACATACAGTTCATCAAGACTTAAAGTTTTCTGTAAAGCATGAAAACTCTGATAGTCTTTTGTATGGCTCAAATTATTCAGTTCCAATATGGTTAAACTAAGCTATAAAATGCCCAAGACAGAGGAATTACTTTATTTGGATCCAGCAATATAATTATTATAATTATAATATAATTCAAAATTAAATATTAGATTCAGGATTATCTACACCAAGCATATTTAGAAGCTGCTGATATCAAAATTTCATGCTATAGGACAAAAGTTATGAGGACCTATGCCATTTTGCTCTAGCAAAAACATATTCTCTTTCCTGGGCATACAGGTAAGGACATGCATACATTTTCTATATTGGACATGGAAAGTGGCAATAAGCAAGGCATGCTTGAAAACTTACTTGTAGTTGGGATAAAGCACTAGCTCCTTTGCTCTCTTGGGAAAGGAAGAAGCGTACTGACATAAGAAGCTCTTGAATACAGCAGCGAAATTCCTCCTCATTTTGTCCACCAGTGGCAATAGAGAATAACCTTCGAGACTGAACTATATATTTAAAGATATATTCCTGCGCCTACAAATGTCAAAATCGGAGATAACTTGTAAAAATGAGGCAGCTCATCTTCACATAGAACACATGCAATGATTATATCATTCAAATAATGACAAGGGTCTGAAACTGGACACCATGTTATTGAATTCTGGCAAATCTTTCTATTGAAACACTAACATTTCAAAGCACATACACAGAAATGCTCTTCCTTTGCCTTTCATAATCTCTACAAACCAGGGAACGCAAATGGAAAACTGCAAAATCTCAACACTGCTGCATTCCCCCATCCCTTGCTACAGAAACACCTATTTTGCAAAATATACAATGTAAGAAATAGGCTCAACATTTGAAGCTGTTCTTGGAATTTCTCTGCCTGTTAAAAGTTGTTTTCCTGTCAACTGTTAACCAGTTAATACAAAAAAAAAAAAAAAGCTGAAATTAAGTTGCAAAACCGTTGCAATGTAAATAAAAAATACAGCCCTTTCTTACTAGCAAGATGCCTAATTAACAGCAGCATAGAAAAGAACAGAAGGGTACCACGTTGATATTTTATTTCCAGACTGTAGCACCTGTCCCAAATGGGATTATTATGTTGTACAACTCAGCCCAACTCCACGCTGTGCTCTGTTGATGGTACAAAACAGGACAACAAGAGTAACCCAAACCACCAGTTTCAGAGGAATTCCCCGGGGTTAGGATTGAACCATTAAATCAGCATGCATGTCTGCCATTTAGATTCAGTTACATGTCAGATGTTAATACCACCAATGCAATCTGTATTTGATTTCTTAGACCTAATTCCTACTCATGTATATCCTCCTCATTCAGTAAGGAACACAGAGCTCCAGAGTCTAGAGGTAGTAAGCTCCATTGGTCACCTTAGTGACAAAGAGAGCGATGAATAAACTGACTGCACTGAAAAAGTCCGCAGCTCCCTAGAATTAGTACTACCATTCCATCATTTATACATACTCAGCTTCACTTCCTAAGTTAAACCTGTTGGTAGTGCATGAATACATCATTCAAATATAGAATTGCCTTCGATGATTTTTATTACCTTTAGTACTTCCTGTATGTGCTTGTGCAGCTCCACTTCAGTGACTCGATCAATATGCCACTTTAGTACTTTTATAAGATCTCTGGAACACCACATCAGAAAGTATTATGACAGAGAAGTGGGAGAAGGGTTAACTTTGTGTTTAAAACGCGAACCAATAGCTGTCATATGAGAAACACTGACAAAATAAAAAAGATATGACCAGATTTCACTAATCACTACAGGCCCAATATTACACTTAGTTTTCAGCCTGCTGAAAGCCACCCAGCAGATCTCTGACGAACAGGAAATAATATCAGCATTACATATGCAGTAGAAAGATTTTGACAGGGATACACAAGCTCAGTTAAGCCAGAAGAGCCCCTGCCAGCATGGACTACCCCTGCTATTCCATACGTTGGTTTCCAGTCTCATTAAACTGTACTGGTTTTAGTGGAAGTCTAGGGAGCAAATAAATACAGAGTACAGCAGAGGAAGTGACAGTGCACTGCTCTAACACAGGCAGCGAACACAGTTGCAGCTGGATGATGTTAAGTCTCCTATGTTTTTCAAAGTTATTCAAGTAAAGAAATCCACTGAAGAAAAAGATTTAAAAATGAAGCCAATGTTAGAGCATTAGCAAGGAAGCTTTCTAGTAATTTAAAGGTATTTTACTCTGTTTTAACGGCCTAAATCTGGGCATTCAGACAAGCATTGCATTTTATTTCTAGTCATACCATTTAATTTAGCCTAATGATTGATTGTGCTTAGTTTACCAATACCTGTCAGTATTCAAATCAGATAGAAAAAGTACAGACTTCACCTGTATGCAAGTGCTCCTGCAAAATGACTTTCAATGTAAGTGTCCATTACTGGCTTAAAGTGGTGAAACTTGCTGTCCTGCAGCAAATTTATTATGTGAACCTAAATGTGAGAGGGGGAAAAAAAAAAAAAAAAAGCTCTTTTTTTACTTTGTTCTTAAATAGTCTTAAGCATCATTACAAAATGAAACTTACCAAACAATCAAATACTTTTGATCCGTATTTTTGAGAGTTTTCATCTAAAATCCCAAATAAAGTGTCTAGTGTATCTTGAAGAAACTGATTGAAGAGAATAAGAGATAGTTTGTTATTAAAAAGGTATTTTTGTGACATGCAAATACATTATTTTCCTCATGTTATCTAAAAGGGTAGAAAGGTATATACCTTCACTATTTCTGAACCATCAATCTCTTTTAATTTTGAGAGGCAGCCTGCAATTTTGTCTGGGTGGGTTCTCCATTTCAGAAGGTCAAGCATATCTCCTGCAAAAACAAAATGCAAGATTAATGTTGGAAGCACAGCAGCATTTCACATTCTAAATTCTACTATTACAGTCCACTCAGCAAAACTTGGCATCATTAAAAAAAAGAAAACATCAAGATTTGCTATAATATCTACCCAACAATAAATTTTCATTCCATCCCATTATTGTTCCATCAATAGAAACATAAGAACACAGTCTGGGCCGTGAAAATCGGTCGCCTGTGGCAACTATATCATGCAATCTTGTCAGATATTTGTCAACTACCACCGTAAGAGAAGTAATTATTTTGCTGTCTCTCATCCCATTGAAGGACGCCTTCCAGAGCCGTCCTCTGACAGCTAGAAATAGTCTCCTAATTATTAGTTTGAATATATTTAAAATACTCATCTTCCTATGTCTTTTTAGACAACAAAGACAATGCGTCTAAGATCCCACTTCATTAATAAGCAACACAATCTCTTCTGAAAAATAAACTCTTCTAACCTAAAACATACCTGAGTGTCTTTGCACTTTCTCCAGCTGTAATAATTTTCCTTCCACTTTCTTGACCAAAATGGTAACTACATTACAGATGAGATTACATCACTGTTCTCTATATCATTAGCAAGCTCATATGTCTGCTGTAAACACCTGATATATATGTTCTAGAATATGAGGGTTTTCCTAGATACATCATATTGGTGACACAAACAGGTCTTTCTCCTGTTTAATACTGTTCAGCTCCCTGGCTACAGCAGAATCCCCCAGAGTCTCCATCTGGGTATGATCCTGCCTTTTGTACCATTAGATTTCATCAAATTTCTACTCTTTCTTACTAATTATTTAAATCAAAGTTACTTTGCTTTGCCTGTATTGTATTTTGATTTTGTCCTTCTCAACCAATGAGCCCTTTCAACTACGTATTAGCAGCAAACTTCATTAACAGGCTCTCTAGAGTCTCAGGTTTTAGTGAAGTTACTCTCATCCCTACCCCATTCCACCCCTTTAAAAATGAGATCAATCCCAGGCCTAATTCTTCAGATCTAGTAGTACTTTCCTTCCACTCAGGAAGGAAATTCCTTCTACTACAGTGCAACCTGCTAGTTCCTTTTTAGCTTCTATTTACCAGTTTTTAAATTCTTATTCTTATCCCTATCTTTTCTAATTTCCCATGTGGTGTGTTATTGAAGTCCACATGGTTTAGATCTGCTGTTTCCTCTGAATAATAATAATAATAATAATAAAAAAACTTTGAAAAGAAAGATTAAGAAGTTTATCCTGGCATGATACGCTTTGGTAAAGTCATCTTACAGCACATTCCATTTAGCTACATGTCCATTTTTTCATCTATGATTTTTTGTAAATACTTGCATAAAATTCTTCAGAAGGTGATGGTGCAGTTAACATATCTGCTATTCCATCTGTCTCAAATGTAAGTACTATATTTCTTACTTTTCGGTCATACGTTATTGCTTTCAGCTTTAGAGATGTACTAAAAAAAACCACCTTGCTATGAGATTGGGAATTTCATGTCCCATACCATTCAATACCCTAAAACTGAGCTTTGCAAACTTGGCCTGGCTTTTCAGCAGTTTTCACTTGATCCTGACCCTTGCTGAACTCCGACACATTGCTGTCATTTTTCTCCCTCTGTTGCAGGTTCTCTGCTTACTCCTCGCACTTTCTGCCCGTGACTCACTCGTTCAGGTCCGCAGCACTCCTTACAAGTTGTATTTAGTAAAAGTTCCATATATTTTTGAACAGTTTAATCAAATACATCCCAAAGCTCCTTTATATCCAAGCGTACTACTTCCACGTTTCACTAACCAGCTTTTCAGAATTTCTCAAAGCCTGCCCATTTGAAGCAGAAAACCTCAAGCCCCATCCAATCATTCTATCAGTTTAAGCCGAACTACTGTCTAGTTGATCACTGTCCAACATTGTCCTAGATGGATCCAGTTCTTCTGAAATGTTCTCACTACTTATCAAACTAAGAAGCTAATAGCAAGTTTTCTTCTTGGTTCAGCAATGATTTGGGTGCTTTCTACCACAGGTTGTTTTCACACTCCAGTAACATTTGAGCCACATCCATCTTTGTGTCATTCTTTCCCAGTTTGCTCCAGGAAAGCTCTTCTCTCCCACAACAAAAAATGAAGTAATGTTTCTGTTTTTCAGAATATTAAATCAATCTCCACCTACATTCAGACTTTGCCAGAGGCGTTAATGGCAAACACCATACATGCTATTCCACTAATATTTTGCTGCCTTAATTGATTTTGGTGTGCACTAATTGTTTTTATGCATTTATACATTTCTTTTTTTTTGCTTTGCTTCATGCTGTGCTACTATGGAATGGTTTGGATTAAAAGAGACCCTTGAGTTGCACGAAGAGGTCCCGCACATGCATCAGAGGCACATCCCAAAGATCGAGGACCAATGATAGGTCTTATTATTCCTTCTGTCAGGAATTTTCAAGAAACAAGCATTGCAAATACAGTGAACAGCATTTGTCTTTTGGATAATTAAATGGACTTCTAGACTTTATTCTGTTTAAACCTCAACTTAAGTTGAGGAGCAGCGAGAGTAGCTGAAGCTGTCAGTTCATAGCCGGAAAAACACTGCTTTACAGGTTTGCCGGAGGAACTTGGGGGAAGACAGTTGACATTCAAAATTAGGGATTTGTTGGGGGATTTAAAAAGAAAGAGAAAGCAAATGGAAGACACCCACTTCAAAGCACTTATTTCAAGGGAAATACTAAGGAGGAAAGACATTGCTGAGATAACATTAGCGAATAGCCCAAGCATAAATGACACAAATACAAAATCTGACATGTGAATCACAAGGGGAAGGGATAGCAGTGTGTCATGTATTAAGAGAAATGAAAATATAAAATTGTCCCCAAAAATAGGCCCACTAGGAAAGCACAGTTTTGGAAAAGGGAAAAAGTCAATGCTGCTGACAAATTTTGTTGAAGAAGAAAAACATCTCCAATGCCTTCCCTTAATCATGATCGGATTTGTACATTTATAATAGGCTACACCCAATCTATAATTCCTACCAATCAAAACACTTCCCTCCTCAACGTCTGTAATTCAAATCCGAAGTGCTAGATTTAATAAAAGGTTTAGAATCATGTGTATAAGGAAGTGGTTTGGGATGATCTTTCCATCTCTCTCCTATAAATCCTGAGACATCAGAAATTGGCCTGGTGTAGCACTACTGCACTTCAAAAAGAAAAAGCCGAATTCCAGAACTGGCAGTCTGCATTCCTTTTCCAACAGGCTGCTCCTGTGGTTTCCAATACTCCCTCCAAACTGGGGTCATTCTGGAAAGCTGCCCCCCTCTTATTTTTGTTTTATTAATCACCAGTTTGGCTTTTTTAAAACGCAGATAGATGGATTACACCTCTGCTTTGCAATAGACGTGCTGTATGGCATGTTGCTCTGCTGATGAACAGCTGCTTACTGGGGATGTGCCGATCAGTGCTGAGAAATGAGTGGATGCCAACTTGCTAAAATATTCTGACTTGCTGGATGGATCCTGAGTCTCTGGCAGGCAGAGATCCCTCCTATATGTCAAAAACTAAGTAAGACTGTATTGATAACTACTCGGTAGAAAAATATTATGTTCTCTCTCATTTTTTTTTGTTTTTTTAGAACAATGAAATATAACTATCCAGCTAAGAATGTGGTATATAAAAGCTGGTATACTTTTTTGCTAACATAAACTGATTAACTATCCAGGATCAAAAGTCAAGCTAAGGAAAAAGCTAACTGGCAGACAGATTAGATAAGCACGTGTTCTTATGAGATATGCTGATGAACACACAGGCTCCCCTGGTTAGAAGGTCTCTGAAAATTGTTTGGAAATAACCCTAAAACCCCCTCCAAAGTACCCAGGGTAAGGACGTTATGGATCCCAACAACTGGGAGTGAGCCTCCTTCCCCCAGTCCCCATAATTTTAAAATGCATGAGAGCTGATGGCATGTGGGAACAATCAATGAGAGAATGACAGCTGAGTAAAATTTCCCAGCAAGCTAGTAAAGTCGTGGCCTAATGCACTCACACCCTTTACAAGTCTGGGTTCGGGGTTCTCCCCCACCCCGTGGCCACACCAATAGCATAATTTTTAATTCATTTCCAGGCTGGACATTGTTGTTCGTAGACACAGGCAGATCTCTGAGAATTTCAGAAAAATCTCCAAACTTAAAAACAGATTAAAAAACAAACAGCAATTTTCAAAAATACTAATACAAATGTTTACTAAAAAAAGGAAATACATAGATCTTTTCAATCCTGTATTTTTTAATAAATATGCTACATTCTCTCAGGGATAACTGAAGTAATGCTCACATGACCAAATATCCACATGCTTTGCTCTATGTTCATTTTCTGAGCATGCAATAGGTTTTGGCAAATTTTTGTTTAAAAGAATGGGGATTTGGAAACTCACCAAGATGAACTTCCCAAAGAAGATCCTTGGAGAAAATATGAGCCTGTCTATTGAAAATATTTCCACCCTCTGAAGTACTGCTGAAATAATTGTTAACTCTTTCAGAGCTGAAAAGGGGATCAATATTATTCAGATATTCTACACCCTCTTACTCAGAATATGGTTAAAAAAAAAAAAAAGGAAATTTTATGCCCTATGTCACACATCTATTTAGATTAAGTACAAAATAACTCCTGTACTGTGAACATAAATTAGTATTATAACCCCAGACAACAGCGCAACTATTTATCAGTGAGGTACTTAAGTTCTAGGCAGCACTTCCATGCATGTGTAAATACTAGTAGATTCATGTGATTTCCTAAATCAAGGCCTTTAACTGAAGCAAATTTAGTCTCTGATTGCCTATTAGCAACCTTTAGGAAAATCTTTTATTAGCTAACTTTTATTACTTTGAAGCTAATTGCTGTGAGAATACAGAATGGATGTGCACAGTGAAACAGACTGCTTACTATTTGCACATAGTTCTATTTTGGACACTTGCTACTAAATGGTGAAAATTAAGACCATTATTTCAATCTAAAAAGCTACTCTAGTTGTACTATTAGTACTCTATAATCAATTTGCAAGCAATTAGCAATTTTACCATCATACATATAAGAAGGGTAAAGACAGTCATTCACACACAAGAGAGAGCTAAGCAAGATCTTAAAACTGTGACAAATGGCTTAGAAAAAAAGAATATAAAACTGTGGGGATATCAAAGAATGGTCAGAAACACATTACCAAGCAAATACACACTATTTAGAAATTTCTGAAAAGCTGTTTTAGTTACAAATGGTAGTTAATATGGCAAATAAACAAAAATCTTAAGAATTTTATAGATAACAATGGTAAAGAGTGCAAACACACTTTCAAACATATTTCTATCTGCTGCTCCTTATATCCAGTTTATAAGATTGTTTTAAGTAGTAGTAAATGTTTGTTGGCTTAAAGGAAGAGAAGTGATACAACAAAAAAACAATATGTGCCTAATTAAAACCAAACTGCCACAGCCTAAAGCCTACAATAAGTATTTAATAAAAACTCTACAACAAACAGAGTAAGAGGTTTTGTAAAGCAGCTGGGTTTTGATAGTTGATTCCAAGAGTGCTGCATTTGATTCCAATAATTCCATGTTAATCTAAAAAGCATTCTTGAACGACTTAAAATCGGCGGTTTATCATGCTGCATTGGTTTCCATCTGGATATAAAAAATTATGAAGAAAACCAGTTTGTAAAATGGATAGAACATAAGCTATTTTTGAGTACATCCATACTTGCTTGGCACGGAAAAGGCTAGCTATCACACTCATTTGAATTCATCATGTTTTAAATAATCAACATATCCTACCATTTTGCGTGAGTTTAGTGGAGCAGAGAAAGGATGTAATCCAGAAGGACTCTTTAGTGGTTTTTACTGCTTGGCTGTTGTTTCCTAGGAAAATTCCCTTTGAAAAGGGGAGTTTGAGGTAGCGACCAGAATCCTGAAGGTTTGTGTTTTCTTCACACTGTGAAAACAAACCAGTTAAAATAACTGTACTGCATAGAAACAAAGGACCAAATCCTTAAATTATATGAATTATTGTTGTTTCTCCACCAGAAATTGAAGAATTTTCACTACGCCTGCTGCAACTTTGGGTTTGGATCATATCTGACATTGAAGTATAACAAATTTGCAGAGGTTATGTCAAATGAATTGGTACAAGTTTTGGTATTAAAATGTAAAAGTTATTTGGGAGCACATCAAATCCTATGAACAAAGAGGTAACTGTTAAACCTGGAAACAAATATTCCACAAAACTGAAATATCTCTAAAAATGATAACATTGAGTGGATCTGCATAAATGCTTTATTTTCCAAATACTGCAGTTCACTAAGAGGGTATCATAGGGTTCGCTTTGGGTGTTTTAATTGAACTTACCTTTGTGAAATCCATTACAAATACAATGTCATATAACGGCAAGATTTAGTAAAACCAGTGCAGTGAAACTGATACCGAGATTCAATTGCAATTTGTAACAGGAAGCTTAATATTAAACTATCAGCAATGGATATTTCAATGGTGACAAGATTATCACTCATTTGTTAATGAATATAGACTTTCTCAACCAAATGTTTCTGGGCATTTAAAATATGTTCCAGAGGACTCATTACAGCTAATGATTACTAATTCAAATTACCTTGTGTACAATGAGTTCATGGGTGCCATCTGGCAGAGTCCTCCCATTTTCCTGCATCAGGGGCACGAAAGAAAAGCCAAACAACTTCTTCTCACCCTTTTCTTTCGCTGAAATACATATGCAAATAGCAGCATTTAAAGTTAATATTATATATTTTAGACAAAATAAATGGATATAATACAACATAAGAAGGTATACTGGAAGCTATTTGCAGCTAGTCAGACTAAGATTATTTTAAATTTCTTTTCAGATTTGCACATTATGTCCTGTAATGGTTTCTTTTATCTCACTGTAAATCAGAAAAAAAAAGTATTCTGGAATTATTTGGTATTTTTTAACAATAAATAATGGAAGCCACCAAATATGCAGTCTTAGCAATATACAGAATGCCAGGAAACCCAAATGAATGTGACCTAGCCAGTCCAACATGAAGAGAAAGGGGTTCTTTTGTTACAATTATCCCCTATAGTAGCTTCTACCTACTGGTCTCTATTTTAGGTCAGCCTCAGGCTACATTGCACTTCTATTTTCAAATAAGTCATCTGCCTCTACAGATATGACTGAAGATGTCACTGTTCCTTACATGCATGTTAGACAGCAGGTAACATTTTTAAACGTGGATGCCTAAGCTCAAATTCCAAATATAAATATATTCCCTAAATATAAAGCAGACTACAAAACCCTGAGATGGCACAGATTTGACTGAAGCCAATGAGTACAGATGCTGAACACTATTGAAAATCAACCAATTTGTCATTAGGTGTGTGTATATATGACTTTTGAGTCCGGATTTAGCACAGTTGGGGTGGTGTAGGCAAACATAACAAAAATATCCAACTCGTACTGCACAGGAAATATTGTGAAAAAATGTATCATCTGTTTGAAACATAGCACTGATGTTTTTCCTTTATTACTTCATAGCTTATAAAAGATATCTTAAAAAGAAATTAACGCAAATTTCTTCCTATATTACCTGTCCCTTACATTTTGAAGTTTATGTACCCGAAATCTAATTATACTGTCACTTAATGTGTCTGCTACTTTCCACAAAGGCAATCTAAATAATCAAATCTTGCTATATCTACATCACCAAAATGAGCCAAACAACAGCAGCAGTTTAAAAGATGTACAATTTAATCCACTTTTCTCTGCAAGCTTGACAGTAGTCAGTACCAAAGCTATGAAACCTGTCTCACATAAGTTGGTATGCAGAACATGGACGCAGACCTCAATTTTTACCTCAAAATTATCTCTAAAATTCTTTAGAATGTTTAGAGAATTTTTGAATTTTATAAATAAATAATAAAAAAAAAAGCAATATAAATGTGATGTTGATTGACCATGATGTATCTACGTACATTTCCCATTGGTTGGATTGCTAAACATGTAGTAAGGAACAGGTATAATTTTGGATAATTCATCAGGTAGATTCTAAATTTCTATTTTGAGTTTCCCTGAAATTCTGTTTATATTTGCAGCTGCAATGCTGTCTATTTCTATTTAATAAAACTAGACTGGTTTCTCCTGGTATTCAGGCTTTACCAAAGCACTGAGCTCCACCAAGTAGAGCTGCAAGCCTGAGGAGCTGTGTCACGAGAGCAGGACAGAGAAAGTTCATGCAGCTGTCTTTTTCCCGAGGTTTTATGGAAACTCATGTGCTGCCTGCAGCTGTAACGGAGAGGACTAGCAGAAGTCGGGAACAGTGCTTACTGGAACAGTGCCGGAATTCACAGCGGATGTGTGCTCCTCTGAATTTATCCACAGGAATAGGAAGTTTCAACAGCTCAGCCCATCTGGGACCATTGTTATGATAAAGCACAAAGGAATGGTATTCGCTGGCTGGTGGCTCTCCAGAGCCGAATGAGATAAAATCCTATTGAAGGAAAAGTATTGATTAGAGATTAAAGGCAGATTAGTTCACTGGTGAGATGTCATCAAGGACTGTTCTTGCAAGGAAGACTACTTAACATTTATATTCATATCATGAATGTCACATCTGGTATAATGCTCAATACCTTAAACCCCACAAAGATAGCGGGGTTAATATTGTTAATATATTAATATTTGCTGATTAGAAAACAAGGCAGGAATCATCCATACGAATGAGAATCAAAGTATTATATAGGAGGAATGGGGTTATTAGGAAGGCTTAAGCAATAAATGTGGAGTCCCACGACACAGCATGAATCATGCAGTGTTATACCCAAGCAACAAACAAGAATTTAAGTGAGACAAGAACAGCTCAGGCTTAAGATCTTTAGTCCTCTGAAATAAGCCTGTAACCCTGCCATTATCAGTGATATGTCCCAGCATGAAAAAAGAAAGAAATCCAGATTCCCTGGGTAGGAATAAGCAAAACATTGGTTGCCTTTGCAAAACCCACGATAGTCTCTCCATAGCAAAGTAGGCAAAATGATTTGTCCAAGTCCTGACTTGGGGATACCCATTAATTCTCTGTGGGAAAGGTAAGCTAAAGCTTTTCTCCTCAGCAGTTATGAGGGATCACCTTTGCATGTCAATATCCTATATTTTTTAATGGGAATAAACATATATATAAAAAAAGATATATACACACACATATGTGTATATATATTTATATATATAAACATACATACATTGCATGCCACACGTTTATACGCACAGTGTCACTTCACATATACACAAACACACATACAATTTGCACCAGACTATTTGTGTCAGCCTTTCTTCATTTTCTCACCCCACAGCCCTCAACATCATGGAGAATATGTGAAAAAAGTACTTTCAAATAAAAGGAAAAAAAAATATGCTAAGTATGTATGGGAAAGGTTGAAGGTGAACAGAAATCTTTTGGTATAGAAAAAAATCTGAGAAACAGTCATCTATTAGTAATTAAAATATAAACCAGTGCCTGTTGGTAAGCTATCACCAGTAGCACGCAATCAAATAGAAGAAAAGAAGGAACATTAATTTATTATTTTATTGATACATGGTCGTGATTTTTGCATGAAGGATCTCCGATTTATTAAAATCAGACAAAATATTGAAAATGATCAAAACATATTCTGTGTAACATGAGGAAATGCATACCAACTAAGAAGAAATATTATGAAATAAAAAAATTCTCCAAAACTTGATCTTGCTTCAACATTTTCCAGCATCTTAATGGAATCATTAGTTATTTAGTTGGCACGTAGATGTGTTTATCTGAATCACATAATTGATCACAGAAATAAAACAAACATTCATTTTATGAAGGTTTTAAGCAAAGTAGAAATACTTTTGTCCTGGTTTGAGGTAAAACAGGACCATTTTTTTTCAGTAACTTTGCTTCTCAGCTAGGCCTCTTCTAACTACTGAAATTAACAGCATATTGTGCAGACAGTGTTTGCTCTCTCAGAGTGATAAGACCAATGTCTATAGCTGATGCCCAGCCATGGTATGCAGAGAGGACCTTGCTTATACTTATTGCTCTAACAGCCAAAGCCAACCAACTTTGTTATTTGCCCCGTTGGAGGGTCAGAAGCGGAAAAGTGCAGTGGGGTCCCACCTGCGGGGAGGAGCGGACAGGACAGGTGACCCAAAACTGACCAACAGGGTATTCCATCCCATCTGCCTCATGCTCAGTATAAAAGCTGAGGGATCGAAGGGTCAGCTCTTTTTCTTCAATGGCCGATGTCTGAGGAGGACTCTGTCTGTTCGTCTGCCTTTGATCCCGATCCTGAATGCAGATCCAGAATCCAGTTCCTGTCCATCACTGAGTCCAGCCTGGGACTGCCCCAGTGCCAGCCGGTGTCGTGACTGACATCTCAGGAGCTTGATACAGTTTTGTATATATTTCATTATTTCTTTTTATTTTATTATTAATATTTCATTAAAGTAATTTAGTTCCTTCTAAACTCATAAGTGTCTTTTTCCCTCCTCTGCCTCTCTCTTTGAAGAGGGATAGAGGGGACCATCTGTCAGTCCTATCTGGGATCCCCCAGGTCCCCAGTAGCCGATTTGGCCTAAACCACAACAACTCTGAATATCTAAAGACAGCAAAAGATAAACCTTTCCAAAGCAATTTTGTACTTTTCAAATAATGCCACAGATGACTTACATTTGAAAAAGTGTATCAAAATTCACTACAGCAAGGAAAAACATACAACAAAGATACCTTTAAAATTTGACCACTGCTGTCCACGACGTGCATTGTCACTTCCACATTCCTGGCCACACTTTTCCCTCCTTTCTCAAATTCTCCTCTTTCTACAGTGATATATAAATCATTCCTCATTTCACCTATTAAAAAAAACAAACCAAACACAAAGTGTGCAAAAGTCAGTTCAACTTGCTTACTTTTTGCTTTTAGTACTTTAGTAGACTTTTACCTTCTCTTCCAAACAAAGGATAGTATCACACCCCAATTTATCCGTAGTTTTGGATTTTAAATAATAACAATTGTTTTCATAAACCAATAAAACCCAAAAAGCTTCCTCTTTCTAAAAGCCCAAGAGATTATCTGCCATACTGAACCAATTCTAGGGGCTTTTACTTAGCTGTTAGCTCTTTTTGGTCTTTACAGTGGCATCTCCAGCTAGACTGAAGCTGGTGTCTAGCTTCACCTCATTTAATTCCTCTTTTAATCTCAGGCAATATTAATAGGTGGTTATTTTGTCATTTGTAATCTTTACATTTCTCTGTTTAATGTCTCCTTGAGGAACTGATTACAACTTTTTTTCACTTAATCTCAAAAGAAAGTGTATTACTTTGAAGAAGCAAAACCCAAGAGGTTGGTGTTCTTTCCATTAGAAGGGCAGGCTTCCCAGATTGCTAGCATTCAAATCTGTTCTTCTGATCTAAAAGATCTCAACGTATTTTACATTGAAAGGGTGTTCTGAAGTTTTCTAGCAAAAAGCTTAGTTAGTTAGCTTATTTTTGCTTGTCAAAAAGGCTTCTGAGAAATTAACATCTTCATCAACACATTCAAACTACAAATCTAATACAGGCACTACCTGTGTTACACAGTATCTACGAGTTATTAAATACTGGTAGCAAGTTTAAATTCAAATTCTTTGCACGTTTGTACATTAAAATGCTAAATATTCTGTCAGATGGTAACCAGATCTTCTGGATGACATCAATGATAATTTTATTTTAGTTTCAATTGATACAAACTCCAAAATTTATCATTGACGAAAAGAAGAAAGATTCTTTGGCAGTTGGGAAGGAGGGGTGGTGGGAGAAGCAGTACCGGTGGTGACTGGAGTGGCATGACAGGGAAGATCCTTGTCCTGTTTGAAGATGCCACATCATTTTCTAAAAACTGTAAACTAATCTAGGTGTGTACAAATATTACTAGAAATACTTGGAAGCAATCGGACTTTCTTTGTGAAACACTAGAAAAATGAAGGAAGAACAGCATCATTATGAGGAACATCTAAAATTCTAATTTCTAGGTAGGAAAAGAAATTGAGATTATATGCTTTCATCTAGTGAAATGCAAGTTTAGCATAATGGGAATATCCTCTTAATGAAGCAGATTTTCACTGAGCACAGGTGAAAAGAAATCAAGTATGACAGTTTTCTGTATTTATAGGTGTACCACTTGGAAGTCAAACATGAGATTGTTATCTGTACTGTGGGTAAAACTAATTAAAAGATATGTAACTGATAAATAATCAGTGCATCTTCAATTTCAGCTTCATTTTAATGTGCAAGCAGAATCTGACCCACTTGAACTTTCCAGGGTACTCTCAGTTCACATTTCTTGCATTAATTTTACTGCATGCAGCTCTCCAGTGATTTTTAAATACCAGAAACAATGATCTTGCTACAGTCTTCTAATATTTTTATAACATTATTACATCACTGTATGAAAAATAATTAAATGATTCCTCCAAAGCACAATCTAAACCAAAACAAATGGAAGAAAACAAAAGGCAAAAGAGGAAACTGCTATATTATCAAGGCCTCAAGAATCATGCCCATAAAACAAAAAAAGGGGAAAAATCTGCTATTGTATTACCTTATTATCAATTATCTTCTGCAACAACTATGGAGAGAAGCTAAAGTGCAGCTATACAGAATGAACAGAAACAAATACCAGGACCAGATGGTATTCACTTAAGAGTTTTGCATGAAGTCAAGGATGAAAGAGCTGAATAAGCGTGTGCAATCATTGAATCAATCTCTCATTCCTGGTGGAAACCAGGTTCAAAATAAGCAAAAGGTGGTGGTTATGCCGGTAATGGACAGCAAGATTTGTAAAAAAAACCCACCAAACAACAAAATCCACAAAAACAATCCCAAAACAAAAATGAAACAAACCCCAAAAACCTTTCCGAAGGATGCTGTGAACATGAGAAACGTATAAGGGCTCAAGGAAAGAATAGAGAAGTTGTGGAAGGAAGATCCACTAAAGGATATGGAACAGACGATCACAAGCAGCTCAGGAAATCCCTTGAGCTGAAAATAGCTGGAGGCTGAGAGAGCATCAGGGATGTAATTACCATACATGCATATATGCATGCTCAGTTCTTACTCTTCCTTAGGTGTCTGTTTACAACATTCGGCTAGATGGGCCCTTGATCTGAATCAGTAAAGCTGTTCGTATGGTTATTCAGGTCACAAAGCTACCCTTAAAAATTACTAGATTCTGATTGTTTTCACATTGCAGTAATATTTTATGATGAAAGTTTTAGAAGCTAGTACAGTATGGTTACTAAAAAGCATGCCATATGTTGAGTCCTTGCTTAGCATACGCTTATACTAGGATCGGTTCTAGTTAGTGCTGGCAGTCGGTCACTTTCAAGAGTCTTACATTCAGAACAAATGACAACACAATAATCAAAATGAGAAGCTTTGTTATATAACTGATTTTAGCATGCAACTTGTAGTTGCAGCATTTGCTCTTTAAAGATTAACTTGAATTCTACATGCATTTGTGCTACATTCAATCATTATTTTTATTTATCAGCAAGGAATTACTGCAATTTTCCAGGGGGTCTTCACAGAAACATAACCAAACAACCATTTCCACGGCAAATTTCACTACCTAGCCCAGATGAAACTCAGTGAAAACCATATTTTTTCCTTTTTAAATAAACTGTACAGGATTTAAATGAAAATGACTGTGGAAGAGGTTGCCCAGAGAAGTTGTGGATGCCCTATCACTGGAAGTGTTCAAGGCCAGGTTGGACGTGGCTTTGAGCAATCTGATCTAGTTAAAGATGTCCCTGTCCCTAAAGATGGCAGGGCAGGGACGATGATCATGATCTTTAAAGTTTATATTTAAAGGTACCTTTCAACCCAAACCATTCTATGCTTCTATGTAAAAATAAGAAAGCATTTCTAAAAGAAAGCATTTCTCAAAGGACATGACATATCCAACTTTTTATAATCTTTAGAAAAATGTAGGGCTTGGTTTAAATTTGGCCTTGTGTCTGGATTTCTAATCACACGTATTTCATTTTGGTTTAAAAAATATCATTACTTGCAACCAAAACGGAAGAAAACCAACTATATTGAACTTGCACAGTTCAGATAACTCTACTGGAACATTAAGAACATAAAGACATGTTCCTGACAAATTGTTAGCACAATATTTGTATGAACATATTACAAGTAAAAGCTTGTAAGATCAAAAAGTCAATGGGGTTGTAAAAATCAAGCACAAAGCCTTATCAGAAAATAGCTGACTGTAAAAAAGAAAATCGATTTGGAAAGGAAACTTCACTCTGGAAAGGAAAAAGGAAAGAAAATAATAAAAAACACTTAGAAAAATATACTTGGACCCAAATTTTAAAATTATTTCACTCTCAATGTACTGCTCTGAAGAGATCTTAATCACGTTTACTCCCTCAATGTAGAAATGCCATTGCTTCAATCTTCCTTAACGGAAATTCTCTCTCCAAAAACTGAGATCGTCTGTGTAAAACTAAGTTAGGACATTCATTTGTGGCCCTTCTTGCAGTAAAAACAGTTCCAACTTCCTCTATAAAGTATTCAAACATCAACAAAGTATTGAATTTGTCTACATTCTTTTAACTGATCTTTTTAATTTATGGCAATTGCGATTACACTATTGATTACAAGAATATGCATCACTTTTCTATGGGATCTTTGCCTTAACCAGTGTACCAGACAGATAATTCTGACAGATTAAATTATCTTGTTTTCACTTAGAGAGGCAGTTGCAGCCACAAGTTGCACTGAAAGGGAAAGTCGTGCTGAATATCTGAGTTCTGAGGTAGACTTTGGTGAGTACAAATGGTATCTCAGCTAAAGTATCTGAATGACTCAAATAAATCTCTCCTAGGTGTATGTGTACTGAGATTTTTACACAGTCTTATACTTCACCAAATTCCAGGAATTTGTGCAAAAACAAGAGAGGCACATCTTAGATAGTACTATACAACAGATTTGAATTACTGGTTGAAAACATGCCTATAGGATTGAATGTCAACCAGATATGATAAGACTTTAAACATGATGAAAAAAAAGCAACAGACTTATTCCAGCTTATATCCATATTGAGAAATACAAGTTCTCTTCTTTAAGTGTGATTCGGTGGAAACATCCAAGTTATTTCCTGCATGAAGTTTGGTACAGGAATAAGCAACTGAAAACACTACAAAAAATTATGCTCAACCTCAAGGTGACAAAGCTACCTCTACCTAAAATGAAGTTGTGTGGTATGAAAGATCTACACCACTTGAAAGCATTTCTTTCAAAATAAAGGGCAGCTCATTTTTCTCCTATCTTATGGAGCATCTCCATCCCCTGACTCCTGTTGTAACAGTTTCTTTAAGCTTTCTGCATTCACCAGAGCTTCTGGACTGTGCAATGAACATGTGGATGCCAACATCCTGTTAGTCACTGTTAACCATCATAGGATCAAACACCTTTACAAGTCAAGGACTGACATATAGTTTTCTAGGTAAAAAAAAAGACTATAGAATGGTAAACCACACACACTAAGATAACTAAACATGTTTTGTGAAGCTAAATCACCTAGGTCTCCTTAGATGTGAAGTGCACTTCTAGACATGTGGGCTGAGTCAACAGAAGCTGGAGAAAAGCAAATTAAAGAAAACATGTGTTGCATTTCTGTGTTGTCTGACACTGTTCTGCACTGACCACTGCTTAAAAAGCTGCCTATCTTCACACAGCTACTTTCTAGCCACTATCCCAATAAAAAAATGAGGTTAACATGGTACAACCAACCATAGGGAAGGTGGAATGTTGTTGCACATTGGGTATGAGATGGCAAACACCAAAGCAGAAAAAAAAAAAAAAAA